AAACACAAGAGACTGAGTCTGCAGCACGTCAACCAAGGGCACTCCGGTAGTCCACATGGCGGACCCCGCCCAGACTACCGTTGCCTACAACACACGGCATCCTGTCAACGCAGCTCCCAGGCAAAGGCAAAGGCCTTTCTTCCCTCACCCGAGCCCGTTGCAGAGGGTTAACGGGTCCTACGTGACCATTGGGTTCCCCACGGCGTCGGTCCTTACCCATGGAACTGACGCAACACCTTTGGAGTGGCACGTTGACAGTACTTGGGCGCTGATCGCCAGTTTTAACTCCTGAGGTGGCTGTAATAGAAGCCGCTCCTGAGAGACACCAAGATACACAATGAAGAGGCCATCTTGTTACAGGTACAAGGTTTGTGTGCCCAGTGCTTCATAAGAAAGGCCAATATTCAATCATCAGGGTTTTTTTTTTTTTATTGAATTTATTGGGGCGACAGCAGGTAACAAAATTACACAGGTTTTAGGAGCACAATTCTACAACACGTCATCTTGAATAGGTCAGTTTTAGAGTAAGGAAGGTTTATTGAAAGAGAAGACCTAGCTTGAGAAGATGGGAGAACGGATTCTCATCGCCATCTTCCTGATTTAAATTTCTGAGACATTTTTGGAGCCTAGAATGACTGGGACATTAGGTGGAAAATGCATCCCCGCTGCAGTTTCTAAATATCTGTATCCATAGCTTTCGTTTCTTCTTCACGTGCTCCTAAAACCAAAGAATCTGATTTCTGCCCCTTCCTCTCTACTAAACTGGCTTCCTAGGAGCAGCCATTGTTAAAACATTTTCTTGGCACAAGAGCCGGATGGCCATCCCCTGGGTCAGCGGCAGTTCCTGGCTCTACCTCAGAATCCCACTCCTTTCTCTTTCACTGAAAACATGTCATAATGCAAAACAAGACAGATTGTTCATAAAGGAGCTGCTTCCTCTCTCACTAGGAGACAATGCACAATGAACCGAGGCCCAACAACACTGGTGTCAGCGTGCGGAGTATGTCAGCTCCCGAATTCACCAGGCTTTCTCCTTGATTGCCCATGGCACCACCCTTGGCCATTTCCTTCTTGAAATCTCTTTCCAAAGCACCTGTGGCACTTTTGACTACTTCTTTGTTCTTTGAAAAGGGAGAGGAACTATGTAACCACCTCTACGTATCTCCCCTTTCCACTTGGTAAGACTCGGGCTTGGAAGATTAAGGAAGCCGCCCCACGTCCCGTCACAACCAAAAGGCAGGCAGACCCCGCATGCGGCAGGCTCTTTCTCTGGATGTTTTTCTCCCACTGTTATTTACAAATAGGTCCCCAAGGTTCTGTTCCTGGCCCTCGTCGGTTCACATCGACTTTGGCTATCACATTTACACAATCACTTGAGTGGTTATTCCTCCCAAGTCCTCACTTCTAAACCTACTCTCCGTACTCCAGGGCCGCGGACACCTGCTGGGCTTCTCCGGCTTCCTGCTTTTGGCCCCTTGGCCGGCCTGGGATTGGTCAGTCATGAGGGGAAAGGGAACAAGTTCTAGGGCCGATGACAAAGGTAAGGAAACAAAGTAGACACAAAGTGACAATGGGAGGTGGGGCAGCAGTGGGGGAGGGCGGTACAGATACTTGCAGTCCTCATGGGAAGAAACAATATCCTTAATATTGTTTCGGTAATTTCAAGTTCATGCTCTCAGCATGGAGGTCTTGGAGACGAATAATGTGAATAGTATCATCACAGGAAACCACGCCACAGACGCCTGCAGCCTCCGCCAATCTCCCCCGGGGCTGCGGAGGGGCCAAGCAAAGGGTTTAGCACATTTTGGTTCTCAGGCAACTAGTTGCTTAGGAAACCATTAAAGATATGTATTTTTGTTTTTAGAACATGTGGAGGTAGTGATTTTAAACTAGGTATTTTTTGAAGGCAAAAGAGTTCATGAAAAGCATATCCTTGCAGCTCTGCAGCAATCTTTTCCTTTCCAAAAAACTGAAACTGATGTAGCCAAACTATAAGGTGAAATGAATAAATAATAAATCAAACAATATATTCTACTCAACTTCAGAAGGAAATGGTCTTGTGGCATGTACTAATCTTCTCCATCAAACAGTGCATGGTAAGCATGTTACCTTAAACTAGCTTTCTAATAATTTACATTCTTGTTCTGCAGGTTTGAAACTGGTTTTCTAGAATAATTTTTGAGAGCTGGAATATAGATGGTTATTAAAAATACAGATTTAAAAAAAAAATTTAGGGTTTGTATAACAAGCGGGAAAGCTGCCGCAGACAGACCTTCACATGCGGTCTAGTGCTGAGACGCTCCGCACCCGGGCCTGGCGCACACGCAGGGGCTGGTCCCAGGCTGCAGGCACCTGTCTCCCTCGCCCCTGTGATCACAACTTCCACAGCGGCCGCCTCGGCTGCTTTACTCTTAAGGGCGAGAGGTCTCACACTCCAGTTTTTGTTAATCACCTCCTAAACATTAGGGTGAGGACACTTTACCAACTAGGGAGAATGAGCTCAGTGGCCAGGTCGAGGTGAGTGAGCGGAGCCACAGCCAGGCCTCTTCCACTCTCCCCACACCCGTTTCATGAGGTTGGTTCTCCAGTTAAGAATATTCTTTTAAAAAAAAAATATTTATTTTTAGAGAGAGGGGAAGGGAAAGAGAAAGAAACGAGGAGAAACATTGATGTGTGAGGGCTACATCAATCAGCTGCCTCTCGCGCGCCCCCAACGGGGGACCTGGCCGGAAACCCAGGCAAGTGTCCTGACTGGGAATCAAACCAGTGACTTTTTGGTTTGCAGGCTGGCACGCAGCCCACCGAGCTACACACCAGCCAGGGCCAGAGTGTTCTTCTTTCACAGGCTGCTGGTAAAGCAGGCCTGGGCATGCCTCCAGCTTGGGAGGAGCCTGGCCCCGGTCGGTGCGTGGGGCGCGGCTCAGTCTACCCCCCATCTAGGTGTTCAGCAGCAACGCCATCCCGTTCTTCTTGGATCTGCCGTTCCGAGCTACTGGAGCTGAGTGAAGGATGTGAGCCCAGGTGAGGGGGCCCAAAGGGACCAATGGGTCTTTTCTAAATGTCTTACGGGCCAGTGCTTCCCAGGTCTGACTGTGCAGTCAACAATGGGCAGAGCTCAGGCCCAGAAGAATTAAACCAGAATCTCCGTGGGCAGGCCTCAGGCACCTATGTTCTTAAAAAAAGTTCCCCAGTAATTCTAACATGCAACCAATGTTGAAAAGTCTAACTTTCAGCCTTAAGTCTACCTGCAGCGCAGGTCAAAGGGGAGATTTCAAAATCAATACTTCACAGAATTGTTCTAATAATTCTGATGCAAACAGTGGAACACATTAAGAGTATTTTTAAAAATGTAAAATAAAAGGAAAGACAGGAAACAAAAATACATTATTGCTACTGTTTTGATTGTATTCAAATTTTTATTTTTTGAACAAAAAAACTTAAGGACAATGATTTTAAATAATAAAACATAGTATACTCAGATACTTTTTAAAAGACAGTTTACTAAATTTGGACTTCTACAGTTCCATTGTAATGCTTTCATCAACACTTATATTATTTCTTACCATTTTATCATCACTCTAAACTTGCTAAACAAAAAAAATGAGTCTGTCTGCTTTAAGTGAAGTTTCACTTTAACGAAAAACTCCACTAACACATAAAACACACATACAGAACAGTCTTTTTTTTTTTAAATATTTACAAAACACAAGAAGTCTGTCCAGCCATTTCAGTTCTGTTGTTCCCTTGCCCATACTGAGCTCAGCAAAAAGCTAAGAAATAAGCAAGATTCACTTCAGCAGTGCAAAGGATGGCATCAACCAAACTTCATTAAACAAACCAACAAATTACAAACATGGTCAGCAAAATTCAATTTGTATAATAGTGATTTAAAAACAGAAACAAGACGTGGGTCACAACTAGACTGGTTTTCACTGTGCAACTTTCCTCAGGGAACAACACTACCCATTTCATGTAGGAAGGACTATGCATCAAAGCCTTTGTGCATGAAGAAGGTGCCCTTCAAACAAATTCATCATAAGGCAAAAGAAAAAAAAGAATGAAGCGGTTTGGCCCAGAGAAAAGCTTATTATATCATGTGTATATACAGTATATACACATTTATAGATATATTACAATTTAAACTGTGTATATAGTCATTCAACAGTTAAATGAATTGGCTCAGTGCAGTGAAAAAAGTGTTCATTTTCTATAAATATGTAGTTATTGCTAATATGCTACACAGTATGGTCTGATGTGGAAACTGTAGGAACTTAGACTTAAAGCTGCCATATGGCCGGCGTCAGCCCGCAGCAGGCATTCATGTGGACAACATGCCATCCAATCCTAAAGAAAAAGCAAAGATTCCACTACAAAAAAAAATAAAGAAAAGAAAGAAAAAGAAAGGCTTATGCACTGTCCCTTACATATTTACCTATTTTTTTAAAAACAAAAAACAAGTCCAGTTCACCACAAGGTAAGCCCAACCTGACAAGCAAGTTCAGCGGCGCGATGGGCAGAGAAGAGTGAAATGCAGCATGCATTTACAAGGAGCGCTGATCTAGTCTATTTTGTCATACAAACTGGAATACAAAAATCCAATTTAAATAAGACTAGGCTAAATGTAATAGTAAAAAAAAAAAAAAAAAAAAAAAGCCAACCAAGAAAACAAACAGAAACCCCCCCCCACACAGTAGACTTAGTTTGATACCTATTAATTTTGAGTAAAACTCATCCTGTCCCCTCTTTATACCCTACTGCAATTTATTTATTGATGGCTAGAATATCTACTTACTTAAAAAAGATATTAAATACCTGTATCATGAAATTACATTCTTTTTAACAATAAGACATACTGTGTAAGAAAATAGCTCATGTGTGAAATGTGTCTGAAATGCATTTTTCCTCACAACTATCAAACATCCACTCACACTAAAACAAAACCACCCCAACCCTCCCACCCCCCTTCAAAAAAAAAAAAAAAAAGAAAGAAAGAAAGTAAGTTAAGGAAAGATGGGGCAGGTCAGGTGAGGAGAGGGAAGGAAAGGTTTACCAGCACAGTGATTAACAATGGTTCAAGACAGAACCAACGAGAGTTGGTCAAGAAGATGCCTTCAATACATGGCTATGGTTAAAAACCAAACTCAACCCCTTTGGGTTCACTGCAGTGAGACAAAAAAAATCTCTCTCACAGATTCATAGAAACACTAGACTCCAGCTCTTTCGTTATTATTATTATTATTTTTAAAGTTTTTCCGTTTGCTTTTGCAAGGCCTAGCTACCTTGTTACAATTTATATCTGCTCTGCAACAACTACGAGAGGTAGGCATAAAGCATGAAAAAGTTTCCCAGTTAGTACCTCAACGGGGATTGTCCACTGCATAACCATTCACTTCAGACAGGAACAGTGATTACCGTCTAGTCTTTCCCTCACCCTCAAACAAAGCTGCTGCCATCCCATAAATGTTCTAAAAGTGTGTACTCACAAATAAGAAACTTTCTCTACTGAAGGATACTGTCAGTGTTTGTTGCAGAGTGTGTGTGTATATGTATACATATATGTATATATGTATATATACACACACATACACATACATATTTATTTTTAAAAAAACAATAACAACAAAAAACAAACCCAGGTTCCTAGAACCAATTCTGATTCTCTACTTCCACAAAATAAAGTATACCATTTGGCCAAGACTACAGATGTGTTTTTGTTTGTTTTTTTTTTCACAGATGCAAGCGCCATGCAAAATAAATTAAAGAACAGATACCAAAAACGTACATGTGATAAAACTACTGAAGGTAGGTCTTTAAAAGCATTTATATAAACGTAATTCATAATACTTCTCTTTTTCTCCTGTGAGTACAGTCACAAAGCTGTGGTTATACATCTAGGATTTCCTCTGCTGTGCCCCCACAGCGCAATCTGTAGCGGCCAGTTCTCCAGCTGATCGTAGGGTCCCATAATGCTGACAAAAAAATGTATATTGTCATGGATTCACGGATGAACCAAGCTACTGCATAATCAAGTTTTGAAAAACACAGTGTGCCACCCTAGGGATTTAAAAAAAAAACAACAAGAATTGATTTACTGTCAGGCTAACAGCAGAAAAATAAATTTTTAAAAAATTCATTATTTTAAGTATACTACATAAAATCAAGTCTGTCTCTTTGGATAATTTAACTGTCATGCTCTATTATACTGGTAAAGAAAATGTTAATTATGAGCAATATATTCTGAGTTTGAATACTTTTTGATTTGCTTAACACCCTTTTTTTTTTTTGGAGTCTTATTAAAAGTTGACTGTATAACCAACTGAAAGTTGAAAATCAAGTGAAGTTTTGTGTCCACATTCCACTAAACAAAGGAATGTTTAAATCTGATATTAGCTTTCAATGGGAAGCTAAAGAATGGCTCAGATAGGTTTTCTTTCTACTTTTTCTAAATTAAAAGTTATAGTTCCACCAAATGACTGCCAACATTTTTATGTCTGTCTACATACCTGGACACCCCTGAGTTGAATGTAGTCAAATATAAACCATGCCAGGCAATGACACATGAAAAATACCATGATATCCCATCTGAATACGTGGTGGGCTGCCCATCCAATAATTAAACTGGCAACAAAGCATTCTGAAATTGGCTCACAGATTATTGTAGCAGGAAGCATGTTGATTCGTAATTTGGTCCACCTTAAAAAAAAAGGATTTTCTTTATACAAAAGTGTGGTTATAAGACTAACCAATTTTCCCCTCAAAATGATCAGTTCTTTACCCTGTTATTTAAAGGCTCGCCTCTTTAAAGGGTATTTAAGGAATCTCTCTTCTGCTTTTATTTAGAATGTCAAGGAAAAGGTCTAGAAATTCATTTGTATGGTCTATACTCTGATGAATAAAGATTATAAAAATCAAAGTGGAGAAAAGGAGAAAATAGAGATGAGCATATAAAATAAATCAAAGTTTTGACTTTTTTTTTTTTTTTTTTTTTTTTTTGAAATCCTGCTTTCAGTGTTAATAAAGAAACTAAACTTTCTTTTGGGAACTGAACATCTGACCTTCAGATTTTTTTTAAGACAAGATATACCACATAAAAAAGTACTCCCTTTCCCTTTTCTTTTTAACAAAGTATGAAAAGAAGAAAGCTGCTGATTCACCTGATCATTCTGGATTGAAACTGAGAAATTGAGTATGAGCCAGAGTTTTGCATGGCAACTTGAGTGGACATCGCAAACCTCCAACCTCTGAAAATGAAGACAATTATAAAATGAGCTGTTGATGATGCATACACGCAAGCATGACCGGTTATGCATTCACTCATCACTGGGAAGCGTAATCAGGGTGAGTCTAGTCCTCAGGACTGACACCCTACTTATGGATGTCTTAGCAGTTACTGAGGCTGCTGACAGTATCATTTAAGAGAGCTGGGAAGAACCTACAACCCCTCCAGTTTACAATCTAAGGAACCTAAAATACAGGCATTCTCAAAGTTCTAAATGGAATAGGTTCTGTATTTAATCATTTGGTCTCTGTCACTACCAACCAAAAAAGAGGGTGGGGCAATATGTGTGTGAATATTCAACAAAAAATGTAACAAAAAATGATATTATGTATACCTTGTGAAACACTATACAACCATAAACCGCATGAACACCATTCACAAGAGCATTTTAAAAACATACTTCAATTTTTAAAATCACGTCTTTAGTAAATTCTCACACAGTGCAAGGATCCCCTTTAAAACTGAACAGTATGATTTTGTGATAGAGAAATGTTAAGTCAATTGTGTGAACCGTTAAGTGGCTTCTTAGCGATACCCCAAATTGAAAATGTCAAAATTTGAAATTACATTCTTCAAATTTTCACCTACTGGCTTATTTACACCCATTCTGAACATTCATAATCACAGAGACATTTTCTTTTAATTGCTTCAAACCCCATTAATCTGATGAGTGTAGATGGATCAGAACATTTATCTGCTTCATTAGTATAACATTATCTATGAATAATTTTTAGAAATTACTTTCTAAAAATATTAAGCTATTTTGTATTCACTAGCAAAAAACAAAAAATAAAAAATAAAATAACAAAGCCCTTAATTCAGGGGTTTAACAAACAGAATAAACCAATAGCAGTTAGGTACTAAATATATGGTAGCCTAATGTAATTTAGTTTTCTTACCGGTCAGCTATTGCTTTGGCCATAAAGTAATCTTCAGCAATGTATTGAGCAAAAGCTATTAGCCCTCCTGCTTGATCTAACACATCCTTTCTCATTAAACAAGACATTCCTGTTACACATTTGAAACCAGTTACATTGGCAGAGATATAGGACCTTGGGTGAGAAGTTCCAAAATATACCTGCCAAAACAAACAAACAAACCCCAAGACATATGTATTATACAATTAGAATTTTAGGTCTGGTGTTTATAAACTCTTATTCCTAATGAATTTCTTTTAAGTATGATTGAGTGAAAATCCTATTATTCATACATAAACTACCTGAATAAAAATTGGTGCAAAATAGTGTTTACATATTCTAGGCAGTGAGTAATTTATTTGGTTGACTACTCCTGTTATTATCCTATTATTACTTCTAGGGAAAAGCATATTCTATTTTAAAATAAATATTATCTTCCCTAAAACTGCAAGATTCAAAGATTTATCCAAATAAAACTTAATTTAGGTATAAAATGAGATAGGTAAAATATCACTAATTGTCATAAAAAATATTAACAAATATTTAACATCCTGTAAATTAGACACACACACCTACATACATAGGTGTCTGTGTGTATGTATGTATATATACATTTTTATGCATGCATACATACACAAACATCACCTACAGTTATATCAACCTAAAGGACAGTCATATTTCTCAACTCCTTTTCTTGTATCCTTTCACAGCTAGCTATTTTCTGCCCCTGAGTCACCAAGCTTCACCTCAATTGGGATCCTGTCTCCCATTTTACTGCCCTTCCCTTAGATATGCTCTGAAGTCATGAGACATGCAAGCTGCTAAATTAATGGTAGACTAAGATGGTCATTGCCCTACTTAATAGACATAAAACCCTATTTATTATTTGAATCTTAGATATGCTGCTTTTTCTAATTGGCTTGAAGTAGAAAGCAGTGATCTTTCTCAATGGCAAGAGTTATGCACACAACATGGAGCAAGAGAATCATCGGGGAAATTAAGAATATGATTCTTGCTACCTACCCCAAGTCCAGACTATACTGAAGCCCTTTGTGGTACTCAATTGAACCAAATTTCTAAGACCAGGAATATACGTCTCAAGCAGTTATTAAGTGAGGTCTGAGAAATGAGGTGGAATTAGGGCCTTGCTGGAGGCTCCAAAGATTTCTTTACAGAACAGAGTAATTCCTCTGGTCTTTTCCATTCATTCTAAGTATGGTAGGTTAAACTTGAACTATGGGGGCCAGAGAGGAGATCCTTATCATCGACATATAAATCAACTGGGCTATTTCTAAAAGAAAAACACAAGGTGGCATGTAAGAATTAAACGTATTTTATTTTAAAGTAACTACTCAGAGTTTCCTTAACTAAACAATTCGATTAGCTGACAATTAGTCCTGTCCAAAGTGTCATCCCGACTCTCAGAGCAGTCAAGCTTCTGGGCGATTAGGAATCTGATGACCAGAGTATTACTTATGCCCATCGTGCTTACCTGTTCTAATGTCGCGGCAAAGCCCTGTCGGTCTGCTACATAAGGCAGCCCGTGAACCAGGCCCACTTTCTCCGTCATGTGGTTAACCATGTCAGTGAGGGTGTCTGGAAGTACTACACAAAAAAGACAAAAAGGTGGCAAGGGAGAGAAAGAAAAAAACTCTTTTTGGTGAAATGCCCACTAATGTACAATATTATTTGGTGAGTTGTTAGCAAAACTATTTTTAAAAATTACATTCTTTTTGACATTTGGATCTAATGAAGTAAATCTCAAACGCACCTCTCTGAGTAGAATACACAATTTCAAAGAGGAATAATTTATGATTAGCTAATTTACCCTATACATTTTTAGGCCAGTGTATATCTAATATAGAACAGAGGCAGATATACCCTGAAAACTTTACTACCCCCCCTTTCAGATCCTCCAAACTGGAGTAACAGACAACGTGTCCAAGTCAAAAGCTACAGGATCCAAGGTCAAAGGACGTCAGCTCTTAGGATGGCTCCTCCATTCCTCACCATAGGGAATGAGCCCACACTTTCTTGGAGGGTATGAGATATCCTGTCTCATAAAGTGGCTTACAGGAATCAAATAGGATTATATTTGACAGAGATTTGTGCACTGGAAACATAATGAATATATGATAATATATAACTTTAGACACCAAATGTGATGAACATAATCTCTGATAGAGAAGTAATGATCCTGATAAATTAGGAGTGCCACATGTCTATTAATTTTCAAATTTGAGTTCTGTATTACACAAATTTGTAATACAAAAATTTTAAATCATTGTTCCACCTTCAAAGAGCAAACATCTCATACTTTACATGACTTCATTTTTATTTCCTTCAAGTCTTTAAGAAATAAATCTATTACATAAAAATGTATTGGGACCTTAAATATGCATATTCTACGGCAGCGGTTCTGAAATGCTGGCCCATAGCGGGACACTTGGCACTATCTAGAAACATTTCTGGTTGTCACACTGGCATCTAGTGGGTGCTAACCGTCTGGCAGGACCACCTCAACAACAAAGAATTATCCAGCCCAAAACGTCAACAGCGTTGAGGTGGAGAAACTCAAGCTAATTAGAAAATAACAATATTACAGAATAGCGAAGTAAGTTTTGTAAAATAAATGAGAAAAAACTCACCTCTTATTCCACTATCACAAATCCAGATAAGATCATATTTTGCAACTTCATATCCTGGCATTAGATTATTAATTTTAGGATTAATGCCAACCTTTTTGCCACCTAAAATTTTAAAGGTACAGCAGTGAAAAATTCATGAAACACTGAAAATATTTTCTATTCTACAGGTACATGGTAGAGAGAAGTGAAAGTACTTGTATATTTAATAACTGAAATGAACATACTTTAATATTACAGTTTATATTCTTTATTATTCATGAAGACATACTTAGAAAAAAGTTCATTCTCAAAAGAGAATTAATTATATCATTTATCTTAAAAAATTTATTAGTTTGCTTTCTAATTATTAAGTTTTTGTATTAATAGTAAGCATAAATCAATACTTAATGGAAAATACATCTCTACAAAAGTTTTTAGAATAAGCCTACAAGCTTCTGGAAAAATACTTTTTTTTGAAACAAAATAAGAGTGAATTCTATTGCTAACTCCCAATTATAGCGAATGAGATACAGAAAAGGCCACACAGTGAAAATATTAAAGAAGCAAAAATAACAGATTCTTATATCTGATTGCTGAGTTACACATAATTTGGGGTGATTTTTTGGTATTTTATTAACCCCAGATATGAAAAAAATCCCTTTGTTTTTATAACTTAAGTATTCTCATAAGGATATCAACACCTTTTGCTACTCCAACAAACACGCATAACGCAAACATGCCAATAATTTCAATTTGTGGCTAACACCTTAATCTACAGTTTAAAGCAAAGACTAGTGCTATCTAATACAATTAAAGCAAATAGTTATTGTGGAATTTGTAACTTACCTATAAACAATCTGGCATCAACATTTGGATATTTTCCAAGAAGCTTCTTACATACGTCAATGGCTGGATCGTCATGATCTTGTACACAAAGGAGTACTTCATACTAGTCAAAGAACACATTATACGTAAATTAACCTCTTTTACAAAATGACGCAGTTGTTAGTATTTACTCATTGATCAAAAAGCATTAAGGCCCTGGCTGGTGCTGCTCAGTGGGCTGGAGTGTCACCCTGTAAACCGGAAAGGCTGCGGGTTTGATTCCCGGTCAGGGCACAGGCCTGGGCTGTGGGTTTGATCCTCAGTCAGGGTGTGTGTGGGAGGCAACTGATCAATTTTTCTCTCTCAAATCGATGTTTCTCTTTCTCCCTCCCTCCCCCCTCAAAAAAAAAAAAGGCATTAGGAAAAACAAGCAATTGTACACACAGTTTAAAAGTTAAGAGAGCACTCATAAGGGATGCAAACACTTATGATATTAAGTGTTGGCTGTAAATCAGAGCCACTTCTTCAGAACAGGCACCTGTTTGCAAGCTGAAGAGATAATGAAGAGATTGGCGGCACCCGCGGTTCAAGTCTTGCCATTCCATGATAGGCATGGCCTAGTAATTAAATAGGATCTCAAGCTCATGCCCTTCCTTACTGCAGGTATACTAAATGTTCACACGGTGCCAAGCAGTGTGAAAAGCAATGTGGAAAGCAAAACAAACACATCCTCCATTCTCCAGACCCTTGCCTCTAAACTGATTATTTCATGAAAGTGCAATAAATCACACACTGAATCCCAATACGATCAATTTGAAGGGCTTTGCTAACTCTTCACGTGAAAAGGACAAAGTGAGATTAGATTTTTTTGTTGTTGTAGTATAGTAATTTTTGGAAATAAAATAGAATTTGATTTGATTCGAAATGTGTCATCTTGAAAAGCGTGCTTAGCTTTTTAACAACAAAAATACTTTGGATATATGAAAATAATCAGGATATAGATATAGATATCTGTGTGTGTGTCCAGTGCTATGTTTATTCTTTGACAGTAAATTTAAAAAGTCATTTCTTAGCACTTAACTGGCTGTGTCACAGCTACTCTGGCACATTTAGTATATTTTAAAAAGAGTCTAAGACTGGACCCCGGTATTATACTTTTGAATTAATCTCTGGGTGACTTTGACATATAACTAGGTTTATAAAATCTTGAGCTCTAAGTTATCATTTAGTAAACTAAATTTTTTTTAAAATATTTGCTTTCACATACAAAGATGCTACTTTGGTATTTTGTGGGACATGTATTCTAAGTAGCAATTTTTTTTTTCAGAAGCAGTAATAAATTCCTGATGACTCAGTGACAAATTTCCTACTAACCCTCTTTCTAAAACAGGTTGGACATTTTTAAGCAAAAGAGGGAGGTGAATTATTTCCATAAAAAAATAACAAAACTCTGTGTTGTAAAAAATAAAGAACTAAGGACACAACATTTCAAGTGTCTAACATGCAGGGACTTAACTCGGGTAAAGGGAAGGCCTATTTTATTTACTTCCATTGATAATCATACACAAATAAAAAGTGGAAATAAAATGTTTACAGTGCCCTTGAACACAGTAGTTACTGTCTGCTTAATATATCTGTGTCTCAGCAAAAATTGGCAATTTAGAAATTAGTCATTTGAGCACAAAAGACGACAAAGATCCATGAAGAAGATGATGAGTTCAGATTTTTTTCAAGTGAAGAAAATGTTTTCTTATATTCTACCCAATTATCTACCTTTAACACTGAATGACCAAATTGTCACTCAAAAGGTATCGAAGCCAACTTTACAGCTACCAAGTTTCCTGAGACCAGATAAAAATCTACGAAGTGGAAGGGTCCCACTCCTGCTGCACCCCTGAAATTTCCCAAAGGGTTCACTCTGAGTCCTGTAAAGTGTCAGCCATCATCCCAGCCTGACTTTCTAAACAATGTTTGGGTGAGCAGCCGAAAGGTTTGACCTTAACAATGAAGATTAAAAAGGGGAATTAGCAACAATTAGCTTTCCAACTTCAGTGAGCTACTCTGCTAGGCTTGCTCTAAAGAGGTTCCTTGTTTTCCCAAACAGCAGTTTCTTTAATGTTTTTATAATGTATGCTGTTCTGCAGGTATGAGTGAATCTAGTGAAAGAAAATGTTTATAAGCAATACAAGTCCATAAAATAGAATTAAAAGGCTAATCTTAGCCTTTCTCCCCAGCAGAAGGAAACTTTAGAGTGTCGTACTAGAAATGTACTCAATGGGAAGGAACAAAGTTATACTTGGTTACAGCAAAAAATTTTTGATAAGTATATGGTGTTAATATAAGTAAGAGAGTGTGTATAGTTTATCTTTATTCAAATTGAAGGCTTAAAGTTTTTATTATTATTGATTACACATCTTCAACTTAATTTTAAATAAAAACAAATACCTTCTGATTAGCCTTTGTGCAAATTAAGCTCAATTCACATTATCAAAAAAATGTTCAGACTTTTATTATAAAGCATGCATCTTTCACTTATTTGTTTCTGATATTTAAAGTTATACCAATTTGTAGGTAGCATTTCAAGTGTTTTCTAAAGTATTAGATTTCAGCCAGGAATCTTCATTTTTCAGCTCTGATAATTGCCTAAGTTTGCTAAGGCTCTCTGTTTTAAATAGTTAAACCACTCCATCTACACTACAATTGGTGAAACACAGATATTAAATCGGTTAAAGACTTTTTTAGCTAACACAAAATTAATTTTTCAGATGTTTTATACTATCTAAAGGATTAGGTACAAATATATGTTCAAAAATACAATGTTTATTAAAAATAAGTATCTCAAGAAAACATATACTTCATAAATCTGAAAGGGATATAAGGTATAGTAAATTCCACTCTAAATGAGAAATAAACCTCAAGCACTTAGGATGAGAAGGTTAGCCTCCACCAAATCTTTAGCTAAACTGACCAATTTTACCTTTTTCTCCCAAACAGTGACTTGACTAAAAGGCTGAGAACAACAGAGGTATAGGAAAACCAACTTACTGTAATTCAGCCCTTTGATATTTAAGAACTGAATAACTGAAACTGAAATAATCGTGAATGTTACTTTTTCTGCTTTTGAATAAAAAGTAGTATTAATAAAAATATTAGATTTAGGTGTATAAATAGTATTAGAAAAAATTTCCTCATTGATTAAACTCTGTAGACATTAGAAATATAAAATTTTTACTATAGAAAACAACATAAAATATCCTCTTAAAATAGAAAAATATTTTACTATATTAATCAATTACAGTGCATGTCAAGTGGGACTATCTTTAATTATTTATAAATAACTAAGCATCATGTTTATAGAAAAATCTGATGATGACATCTGGATTACAGTAGTACATAAATTCTGTGACAGAATGGATGGACTTAGATCCCAAATGCCTAGGACATTCTCTGGCACAGAGCAGGCAATGAATATATTGTTAAGCCAAGGCACTTATCCTAGGGTAACTTCTGAGTGGAAAGATTGATGCCAGGCAGGAAATGTTTTATAAGAAAACCACTCTGAATTTAAAGTTTAGACATTATTAAACACTTACCTACTTTTAAAAATTAGGTAGTTTACACAGTTCTTGAAATTCATTTGAAAAACCCCAAATCTTTCTGACTTAGAAGTTTTATTACATGTAGTGGGCTTCATCTTTCACTAATTAATCCTACTTTTGATCTTTAATTCTTTGTTGAAAAACTATTCAGTTAAAAAACCATTTCCTCTTAAGGACAGCTACACCACTGGAAACAAAGAATTCAAACAGTCACTGGACTTGTAATGTTTTAAACCAATTATGTATTTGCAGGAAAAAAAAATCAAAATGACCATAGCTCTGTTAATAACTATTAATTAAAAAATTCTTCATATGCAGAATTCACTGAAGTAAAGCCATCAAGCTGCGTTAGATGCAGACTACTGCATTTCCCTGCTACTGCTGAATCTCTCCCAAATGCCTTCTATGAGATGCCAAAGGAACACTCAATTTCATGAGGAATGAATTGTATCACTTTTTCATTCTTATATTTTTTCCAAGTAATAATTTTTAAATCAAGGAATATGTATCAATAGTAGGTAGCGTTATAAGATATTTAAATACCAGTAATCTTTCATGGTAATTAGTAATAATCTCACTGAAATTTAAACCTAGAAATTCAGAACCAGTACCAGTAGTAAATCTTGCTCATGTCCAAAATTAAATAAAATTTTAAAATTTCAACCTAATGTTCTTTTTCCCAAATGGCCTATAATTTCCAAATCAAATGACAGAAGAAAAAGTTATGTCAAGAATGAAAATGTTTCCACACTTTTGAAAACCAATGTTCACACTTGACAAAATGCAAATATTAAAGTGCACTGGGCTTGGCATACACACGAATGTTCATTTTATAACTACGTGCCTCCTTGGGGACACAAAGGGGTCATCTGTCCATACTCAGATTTGTGTGATGTTTTGGTGGTTTAACTTCAGTCTCTTGTGGAACATCTGCCGTTGTATTTGACAATGCATGCAAATTATCTGGCAAAATAAATAGCATTCAGTGTTTTTTTAAAAAGCAAATAAGCCCCAACTGGTGTGGCTCAGTGGGTTGGGCACCATCCCGCAAACCAAAAGGTCCCGGATTTTGATTCCTGGTCAGGACACATGCCTGGGTTGTGGGCCAGGACTCCAGTTGGGGGTGTGTGAAAGGTAACCAATGGATCGTTGTTTCTCTCTCACATTGCTGTTTCTCTCCCTCTCTTTCTCCCTCCCTTCCCCTACTCTAAAAATAAACAAACTCTTAAAAAAAGAAAGCAAATAAAATGCTGTGAGACCGAAGTTTTCCCTTAGATTGCAGGTACTTTGTGCTTTTCCTCTGCTTTCTAAATTTTCTGTTTACATGGCTAACAATACTTCTACAATTAGAAAATAAAATTGTGATCTAAAAAGGAATAAAAACAATCCCTTGCATAAACTCATTTTATAAAAGTATCGGAATAGCTTTCTCCTAAGCCAATTTAAATGCCTTGATGACATAATTTAAGTGGAAAAAGAACTATGAAGACTCGAGCTCAACATAATTCCAAATTGTAATTTAAAAAAATTCAGAGCAAGAAAACAATTATTGATTCATCCCAAATGTTCATAATTAATGGCTATGTATGTTCCTGGAGTTATTTTTAAAAACTCTTTCTACAATTAAAACCCACACTAACTTTTGCAACCACTTAAATTCCATAACTATCATTTCACAAGAGTTGCAACATAGAAACTCCATAATTAGATTTTAAAAATGGTTTAGTGGGAAAAGGGGAAAGAACGGGATGATGGTTAAAACCTGAAATGTGACACTAAGTTTTACAAGGATGAATTCATATGATTCTTAGCTATGCTCTAAGATTTACTCATAATCAATGAAAATACTCTCTCATTCATAGAAATAAATTCTCCTTTGCATTTGCTTATACAATGTGGGGCTTGAAAAACTTGCATTTATCTTATTGCAAAATTTATTTTACAATTAATTTTATTTTTATAATTCTTCCTGAATTATAAAAGGTCAATTTTTACATTTTTAATTTGAAAAAAGATCAAGTATAACTCAGCCATAAAAAAAGATAAAATACTGTCATTTGCAAAAACATGGATGGACTTTGAGCATTAAGTGAAACAGGTCAAATGGAAAAGGACAAGAACCATGTGATTTCCCCCATTTGTGGGATCTAAATTAAAAAGCAATAAATGAGCAAACAAACAAACTCATAGACACAGTCAACAATATGGTGGGTTACCATAGGCAACAAATGAACAAAAAAACCTCATAGACACAGTCAATAATATGGTGGTCACAGAGAGGAAGATGGCTGGGCAGAGGATGAAGAGGGTAAGGAGGGTCAAGCTTGTGGTGGCGGAAGGAAACTAAGACTTTTTAGGCAGGGAGCACACAAAGGAATGTACAAATGATGGCATTATAAAGCTGCACACCTGAAACTTATATATGATTATTAACAATGCTACCACCTTGAAATTTAATTATAATCAAGTACATATCTTCTTCTTTTTAAAAATTACATATTAATTTATTGGATAGATAAATACATGCATATAATTCAGATCGGTAAAATTATTCACTATATATTAACACACAAACTAGAAGAGATATGTAATTTTTTTTGCTTCAAATTAGCTTAAATACCTAGACTCCAAACTCTGAAAGCAATAACAACACTAAAAAAATAACTAAATGATATTCATGTCAACATACTTAATTAAGGGCTGCAAGAAGGCTATCATGTCTGTATCTTTTCTATTCTTTTCATTAGTGCTACAAATAAAAATTAGGGCTAAAAGAAAAAAAAATAAGAGCATGAAAACCAGTCACCACGAGAAGTGTGGTCTGTATATACCATTTTCCTTCTGACTACTTGGGCTCCACTATGCTAAAGAAATAAAAGGAGAAGAGTCTCCAAGTGGCAAAAACTACAGAAAAACTGAGGCAACAAGGGGAAAAATTAAGGCAAGTGAATAGAGTCCACAGAGGGAAGATTAAACTGGACTAAGAATCAAGCAAGTAGAAATTTAAAGAAACATCCTTCTCATAAGTAATCTACCACCACCAGAATGAGCTTTCAAAAGCAGTGTCTCAAACAGGCAATTAAAAAAGCTGCAAAAAAACCCCAAAACGCTAACTACAAAAATCAAGGAACATTAATTTCTCCTAAGAAACTAAAGGGAAGAGATAAAAAGAATCCTCCCATCTCCAGGAAGTTCTCCAATGAAGGGAGTAAGTACACTGAGTGAATTGCCACACAGAGCATACAGATAAATGATATGAGCAATGCAATTAGGTATTAAAACTCAGAAAAGTAAATAAATTGAAAACTAGGTATAATGAAGGCCCCACCTTACCACTAATTGAAACCTGTTCTTGGCTCAAAGCCAGATTTTCAAGGGGGTTCCCATTGAGTTCTATCTGTCCTGCATCCCACTTCAGCTCAAGGAGCCATGTTTTTTCACTCTCACTTCACTTTCTCCTCTTCTTCCTACTGTTCACATGGGACTCTCGTGGAACAAGACTTTATGTTCAAACGACCGTGTCCTTAACACCGAGTTCCAGGAGACTTACTTGCGGATTTCTAATTCGGAGGGACACACAGGGTAGGTTAAAAAAGGAATTTACATCTCCCACATCTTATTTCTGTCCTCTGACAACTGCTGCTACAGCATAAATTTTGAGGTTGACATCATCATGAATTCTTCATCCCTTCATGTTACAGAATGTCAAAATGCCTCTTTAAGAATTCAACATGAGAGAGAAAGGGAGAGAGAGCGTGTGCATGCGTGCAAGCATAGCCTATCTCATTTCTAATGAGGACAATACGGTACTTACTTTGGGATAATCCAATTCAAAGAATGTTTCCAAGTTGTTGATGAGGTTGGGATCCACTCCTTTCAGTGGTTTCAGAAGAGACACACCTGGGAGCTTGCTATACGGCTGTTTGTCCGTTGCCTTCTTGTTGAGGTGCAATCGCCTAAAGGCAAAGGTTGTATGCATTATTTTTGGAGACTACCTAAGTGCCCAATCTATATAGTATGCACCAAGTTGTAAAGAATTATTAAATTTTAAGTTAAATTATTTTTTAATGGGCATTCTCCTATAAGGATATCTGAAAATGAAGGCAAGTAGAACCAGGGAAGCTTCCAGTTTAGGAAAACCAGAACTAAGCGGAAGGAACAGTCCAATGAAGGCCAGAACTGAAGACCACTGTCTACTGCTGTACTCTCAGTGCTGAGACCTATGCCAGGCACAGACATTCAATAAATACATGGCAAAAAAACAAGTTAGCCCACACATTAACTGCTCTTCCTCCCACACTGCCATCAAACTGGCCAAAGAACTATAAAATAGTGGGGGAATTAACATCCCTACCTACACCACAAAAATACGAAGGGTAACCAGAAAAAATTAGGAAAATTTGTATAACCAACAGTCCAGATAACACAACTGAAGGAAGCAGTAAGCCGCCCCATGGATCAAGCAAGACAATGGTATGATGAGCTGAACTCCCAATATTCACAAGCTCCAAATGGCAGAGATGGACCAGGGGGAAGCTGAAATAAGAAAAAAAAATCTCAGTGATGAGAACAATGTGTATTTGTGACACTGGAAAATACACCAGTGCCACCCATTCACAAAGGAGTTGGTCAAGGCTCTCAGTGCTGGTCCATCCCAAAGGTGTTGCTGCACTGGGCTCCTCAGAAGGGAAGTCAGGCCAAGCTGCCACAATAAAGAAATGAGATGCCACTCAGCAGAGTGGTGAGATGTCTAAAGGAAGTCACCACAGGCTGCCTCCTCCTTCCTTCTTATAAGAAAGTCTCCAAGCTCTCCACAGAGGCTAGAACAATCACGGGGCCACCTGCAAGCTGCTTCAGCCACACATTCTTTCACATTTTAGTATCTCTGAACTCAATGACATCTTACAGTTGCTGGTATGCTAACTTAGTAGCTTGAAAACCAACCAATGAGACCTTTTAGACGATCAAGAAAACACCGGCATGAATGCATCTTAGGTTTGATGAAATGCACTATTCATCCACGAATAACTTCTGGAAGTATGCCAGTACTATCACCCAGAGCCGCCAGCCACAGACAGAGATGTACCCTAGTAAACGCCTAATGTTTCAGGTACGGTCAGACAAACAAGCATCTTTACAGAAAGAAAACAGGTTACCACCAATGGAAAAAACTTTAGACCAACAAGAAATTTAAAAGACGGTGTATCAATTTCATATCCATGACGCCAAACGCCAATAATGGAGCATCGCCTACAGGAGGGCTGCTCAGTGAGGGCTCATCCACGGTGTTTTTGACTGGTCTGTGATGAGAAGAAATAGAGAGAAAGCACCTAGAAACTTTTGTAGCAATTTGACAATGCCAGGCAATCCAAGCACGTAATCAATAATTAATTTTTATTGTATCAGTCCATGACAGATTGAAAAATTTTAAAGAACTGATCCGTTACCACTGGTAGGTTGGAAAATGCTGATCTACAGAGTTGATCGAGAGGACTGGACAGAGGTTACTCTATGATCTAAAATTCATTTAGCCACAAAAATGAGCACTATTCCATTTCTAACAAAATAGTAGACTAGATGTCTAGAGAAACTCACCCCATACAGAACATCTAGATTGCTGGGGGAGGGAAGTTTTATTATATACTTAATTCACTGTATACTTAAAATATAGTGTTTATTAATATATTTAATAAACTGGTCATATAGACACCATTTGGCTCAAATCACAAAAAAATATTAAGAAATTCATGTCCCCATCTGCCTTATTCCTATCACCACCTCCCCAGTATTATTAGTGTCTTGTTTAGCCTTCAGAGATTTTAATACATATACATGCCCAAACATACATATATACACAAATCCTTATATAATATTTATACTTTTCTCCCCCCTTTTTATATACAAGTACACTAAAAGCATTTTATTAAATACAGGACTGGACTGTTAGGAAAAGAAGGGATAGCCTCCAGGACAGAAAGGAAAACCCTCTAAGTCAATGTATGCTGCCACTGTTGCTTGCCCCATGGCCATCTGTTGGTGCCTGATGACCTAGAGATGGTGACAAACTTGAGACAAGAATCACAGAAAATCTGTTCAGGGAACGCTGTGTAAATATGGCATCACTGCGAGGCAAAGTAAAAAACGGGGAAGCTTGCCTGTCCTGGACTCAGTCTTGAGTGAAGAGGAATAAAAGGAAAAAGTCTCTCTGGAGAACACCTAACCACATGGCTTTGGAACCCAGGAGGCAAACTACCTGTGCTGCTGGAACAAAACCCAAGAGATGGAATGAGAGAGACCATCGTATGTGACCGCGAAGAGATGAGAAGAACGACGATATCTAGAAGTAAAAATTACAATCACTGACATTTGAAACTCAATAGACAGGTGAAAAGAAGATTGCCAATTTAAAAGAGATCTGGCCTCTAGATTTGAAGACACATCCAGAACGCAGCCTAGGGAGCATGAGATGTAAAGACAACGAAATCATCAAAGAGTCTGAGAATTTTCATCCCTTGGTCCCACTGTATGATTACTAAGTGCTGACAAACTGTATCAAAACATGCACGTGCGGTGAAGACCAATTACAGGGAAACCTCGCCCACTGACTGACATGTTTTAGTATAAAACCACGGATAACTGAAACAGTGCTAAACAGTCAAGTGCTGATCCTATTTCTCCCTTCTTCCCCATCTTCATTAAGACAGTTTACTTTAAATCCTAATACAGATATATCTCCTATCCCTTGAAGAGCCTTTCACATCGAGCACGACGTATTTTATCGAAGACGCATTCTGACTCACCATCAACAAGGAAGCCCTCTCCAGGCTCACGGGGAAGCGAACTGTTGACAGCACCATATGCCCGGTAGCGCAAAAGTGGCCGCAGTGGTGCTGTCCGGCAGGTGGGCCCGTTCAATGAGTGGCTCTGACAGGGCCCTTCAAGGCTCCCTGCTTTTGCAGCCAGCTCTGATATAAGCATTTCAGGTCATGGTTTCTGCATCGCCTGAACAGTGTGAGCCTGAGCTTTCCACACCCACACGTGACACAGGATTTCTTGTGGATGCCCGTTCCTATCCTCCGCCTGGACCGGTGTGCTTGCTTTCTTCTAGGATCCTGGGTACTTTCTCAGTTTCACGTTCTATACTGGGAATCCAGGTCTACCTTCTTATCATGCATGTGGCTTAAGGCCCTGACCTTTTCGGGGTGGAGAAGTACTTTTAATGGATGTACAACATACACAACGTCACATAAACTATACAGCTTGATGAATTTCTTCAAAGTAAAACATCCATGTAACCAGTACCCAGATCAAGAAACAGAGTATGACTAGAACCCCAGAAGTCGCTGCATGTCCCTTTCTGCTTATTCCACTGAGGGGTAACCACTGTCTTGAATTCTAACACCATAGACTAATTTTGCTGGTTTTAAAATTTAATCTAAACACAACCCCATAGGATATGCTTGTTTATGAGATTCATCTTTGTGGTTACATTCACTCTCATTTCAGCACAGTATTCCTTGTATTAATATAACCACATTGTACTTATCTACTTCTGTTGACGGACATTTGGGTTCTCTCCAGGGTTCGGCCATTATGAACAGCCTGCAGTCTTGTCTCTGCATAAATCCTCATGTAAGTATCAAAACCCTGGCCTCCCCGCTCCCACCACCCAGAACTTCAACTTTTGGACAAGGTGAAGAAACAGGGACAGTTCATTCTCACACCTGAAACAGTTTTTTAAAAAAATCAGACCAAATATAGAAAGCGGTGGTTTTTAAGATACTGGCAATCAGGTAAAAAGGGACAGTGATTCCTAAGGCTCGGAAAGCAAAGGAGGGGAGCCCTCCAGTACCCCAGCACCCTGCTGTGAGATCTTGTTCAGGTTGCGGCCAGGGAAGGGAAACCCAAGCAGGACCCAGCAGACACCCCTCGAATGAAGAGATGGAATTGAAAGTCCGGGAATACACCAATGTCTAGCAGCTGGCGAAGTTAAATGCACAATGTCTGACATCTAATAAAAAATTACCAAGCATGCAAAGATCAGGAAAACATAGCTAATAATAAACAGAAAAATCAATAATTGGAAACCAACCCTCAGAACTCTCACTGGGATTAAAATGAGCAGACAAGTCCAACTCACTGCTTTGCGTTCTCTCTTCATTTCTGGGACCTGGAGATTTTCCTTTCTTATTTTCAGGCTGTGTGCGTGCGTGCGTGCGTGCGTGCGTGCGTGTAACCATTACAGCAATTCATGTGTTTAGACTAGAAGTGGTTATCACAAGTGCACAGGCCACTTCGTGTGCAGAAGCACTTCTGTACAAGCTTCTAGAAATGCCATGTAAAATGGACTCTAAAGGACCTAGGTTTCGACTCCTTTGAGAGTGCACAGAAGGAAGCATCTGACTTTTCCTAGGAGGTGGTCATTTAAGACTTCCATCCCCCAACTGTGGTCCACCGACCAGCAGCAGACATCGCCTGGAAGCTTGCTGGAAATTCAGACTCTCGGGCCCTACCCACAGAACGACTGAAACAGAACCTGCATTTTTCAAGATCTCCAGGGGGGTTCAGAGGTCTGTTCAAGCTTGAGAGGCACTGCTTTAAGACTCACCTCTGCTACGTAAAGTCTTCCTTGGTTTCACTGACAAGGCCTGTAGCTCATCCCATAGGCAAAAATAATCATGAAAGACCACCAGAAAAGGACAAGGATCATTTCTGTATTTACAGAAGTTAAGAGAATAAAGTAGAGGCAGGGGAGTTAGAAGGTGAGGGAAAATACAGGGTCCAGCAGAAGTAAGGCCTGATTGAGGGTGGTTGGTAGGGTAATAAAATGCATGCGGTAATTTGTAGTTTTAGTTTGAACATTTCACCTAAAATGTCATATGGTGTGCTTGAGTGTGATATTGTTATATCACAGAATTACATGCTTATGATTTTGTAATGAAAGATTTTGTCACTA